TGGAAGGTCGCAACTACCTCCTCAAATTCCCTAATATGCGCCATATGGATTCTCATTGTCGAGTCCATGAAAAGTAGGAAGAAGTTGAATCATTCCCGGTTCAAGGTCCATACGTGGCATATTAGGTGGAAAAATAATGAATAACGGTATGGATATACGCAAGGGGTGCAAATAATCATGCAAAGTTCTATACAGTGCATCATGCTCATTGTCAGACATCGTGTTATGTAATGTGGTGTTCGTGTCATGAGATGTAGACTCAAAAAAGGATTAAAAGGGAATTCAAACTCTATGTTAGGTCTGTCAGCAGATCTCCCTCTCTCTCCTCGATACCTGCTCTTGAAATACAAGTAAAAGAAAATAGAGTAAAAATAATAAGAATACTAAAATGAAAATTAAATTAACTAAAAACAAAAGTAAATGAACGATGTCACCATTTTGTAGTCGATCCCTTAGTATTTTGTACCGTCTCCCCGGCAAAGGCGCCAAATTTGATTACGCCCAAAGAATAATGCGGTAGTTGTAGCACAGCTTTGGGGTGTCGTATCCACAGGGAGACGGAAGAATATTTAAACGATCAAAAATGTTGAATTGTTCTCTCAAATGTGTAATAAAATTCAATGTTGAAACGTGAAATTAAAATCAATAATTCGAAGGGGTGAAGCGTCGAAATTCCCTCAATTGGATTGGATCAATCATATCAATTATTCATTTTTATAATACAATTAGAGGCTTTCATCCCGACACTCTGATCGGAAGATATATCGTGAAAATCAATTTAATTTACAAATGTAATCCTAGAATTTAGACTTAAAACATATTCGCACAATTTTATTGGAATAAGATCAAAGATCGACCATATACATCAAGCATAAGGCAGTAATCAATCCGTCAATAAAGTGAAATTGAGATTAAAATTCAACAATTAGTTTAATCTAACGATAGAAGAAGCATGACTGGATCTATGAAGGATATAATAATTGTTAAACCAATCTCAACAATAAATAATTGAAATTGAAACTCAATAAATAGTTTGATTGAACAATGGAAAAAGTATGACTGAATCCATGAAAAATCTTGTAAATATTAAACCGATTTCAATATAAATTCAAGAGAATGAAAATCTAAATTCTAGTATTGTTTGACAATGAAAAGATCAAATTAAATGAATAAAAGACATGAAATCATCAATTCCAATCGAGTTCCTTCATACACCAAGGGTTTTAGTTCTCCATGAGTTTTTTGAGCCAAAATGAGAAGAATGGTGTATGGGGGCCTCCTCCATATGTATTCTGCTCTTAAGTATTTGTAAGAGTCGAAAATTAGATGAAAATCACGTCCAAATTAGTTTCCAAAAGAATTCTAATCGAATAAGGAAAATTCCTTTCGCGAACGGATTTTTTGTCTCTGCATAGTAGCCAGTAATTTGATTATAACTTTCGTTTCTGATATCCGATTTAGATGATTCAAGATGCGTTGGAAAGATAACTCAAAGAGCTACAACTTTGTTAGAAATAGATCTTTTCCAATTCGGACTTTAACTATACCAAAAATGGATCTCAATGTTTGGCTAAAAATCTAGAATATATCTTGTGCGAATTGGAAATTGATTTTGATAATATTCCATTCCTTTTTGACTTCTAATTGCTTCCAATTGACCATTAACATTCTCGAACCTTCATCGTGAGCCGCGACACAATTTTTGAGTATTTTCACTTTAATCCCTGAACTTTCACTTTCNTGTACTTTAGTCCTTGAACTTTCACTTTCTTCCATTCTGGTTATTTTTCACTTATTTCTCATTATTTCCGCCACATTCATCACTTGTCCCGCAAAACATGAATTGCATAGAATTAAGTTATATTCCAACATATTAATCAACAATTACTCATGTTTTGACAGTAAAATAAGTATGTAAAACGTACTTATCAAGTCTTATGCATGAACGTGAGTGGAGCTAGATCTGTTAACCACGTCTCTAGTTAGAAATCGAGATACTTCCAGAGCAACAACATAATAAATTATTAATTTAAAATTTATAGAAGAACTTCTAAAAATATTTAATTACCATATAGACAAAACATGAATTTATATAGAAAAAAAATTACCAAAAATGTATAAGCAAAAAAATCTTCCAAACATGCATTAGGCAAAAAAATCTTCATATACCGAATTTAAT